GATAATGTCAGATACAGAATTTCAAGTGACTTAATTGACAGTTCAGATGAGAACAATGGTTCTGAATAACAACAAATACTGATCTACTTTTAGTATTTCATTATAAAACATTTAGAATAAATATTCTTTAAATTTAATTTTCTTCACAATGTTAGAAGCATTTGTAAGTAGGTTTTGTAAGAGTATTTTTATTGCTTGTACATATTTTTGTAAGATGTATTTTTATTACTTATACAAACAAAAATACACACACTATTTTAATTTAATATATTTTTTTTTTTATAATCTAGCCTCATTATTTAGAATTTAATAATTTTAAATGGGTTTGTTATTTAATTTCAGTTTCTTAACTTGAGGTTTTTTTCATGCCTTAAGGCAATTATAGGTAACGTCCTTAAAACATGCAATAGAATAACAAGAATGGGAAGAATAACCTTGCAAAAATATTGATTTAAAAAAAAAAAAGACTCAAATTATTTTTCAAATAAAATTTTTAATACCTTTTTAACCGCTTTTAGTATTTACACACAATATTTTTCTTCAAACTCCACACTTCATAAAAGGAGCCATCTTATCAGTATATTTGATTAAGTATGGTCATTTAATGTTCAAAACTTGTCAATCATTAATTCTTAATGTGTCTTAAACCTTATAACTGCATATCTTATACTTTAAATAATATTTCAGTGAAGGTAAATGAATTACTTTAGTTAATGTTAAGAGAAAAGAATAGAAAGAGTTGGAACTGTTTTCACATCTCATTATAAATGATATATCAAGTGTCTACTTTCTATTCATATATATGATAAAAGATATATTTAATCACATGCCTTGATAGTTTGTTTGTCAATATAATTGAAATTCTTACTGTTATTATTAACTTTAAATATGTTTTTTTTAATATAATGATAACATATTCAATAGAGTAACAGTTGTTCTTGTGCACAATGAACCTTTTAGGTCAAGGTCCATTTGGCCTGCTGGGCTCTCTCCAGTACAATATACAATAAATCACAATTCACGAAATGCAGGATAATTTGTAATAGTAATTATTATATTTAAATTTTCAGATGATGATAATTTGAGAATTAAGTAATAAAAAGATGTTTTGGCAGAATAGGTTACAATTGATAAATTTTATTTATAATTTTATGTAAGCTAACATTAGTTCATAATGTAACATCATTTGCATATTTTGTATAAATTAAAATTGAGAGGGAATAAAGATAGAATAATATATATTTTAAAATTTTATACTGTTCTTTTAAAAAATTACACTAATTTTTACATTATTATAATTAAGAATTTTATTTAAATATATTTTTCTTAAATTGTGTATATAAAAATTTCATTGTTACAAGAATATTCCATTATAATCTTGAAAGAAGTATTTAATGTTTAAATCACTAGCTGCAAGAAAATAAAATTCTAATTTATGACTTAAGAGTTGACATTTTTATGGAATTTACTAGTGCACATAATATTCATATATATAAAAGTTTCCGATTCTATAAATAAAAATATTTAAAAAAAAATTCTGCTTTAAGTGTAAATTTCCTGATTCTGTATTTATAAAGGAACGGGAAATCATTACAAAATAAAATAATGATGCTATCCAAATGATTCAAAATTATGAAGAATGGACAAGTTAGACAATTTTGCAAGCTATACTAGGCTATAACTTATGTAGATTTTAAAATACAGTGGGTGATCAGTTAATGAACAAATCAGATAATGAACACTTTTGTGAAAGATTTTTGTGTTTGGCTAACGAATGCCTCACAGAACAAACACAAGAAGCAACGTAAAATAATGAATACCGATTGGTCTTCCTTTGTCTTCAGGCAACAATTCAAAACTTTTCGGAGCACGGGAGACATCGATATTCAACCTGGTATATACTGATCGGATAGTGTTCCCCCGAACTTTGAAATTCTCCCTTGTAATTCCAGTCTTTTATTTTTCTGACAGAAACAATTCTTTTATGTTTTCTTCTGAAAAAGCAAATTAATGCTGATATCTGTTATTAAAGATCTTTTGAAGAAGTGGGAGGATGTCAGAACAACTGTCTTAAAATGGCATCCAAACCAGATTGAGGTTAATAGACTTAGGGATCTCTACAATTACAATGCTATTAATTACTTGTGAAAAATCCTGAAGACGACAGAAAAGTAATCGACATTAGACAGATTCTTTAACCCCCATAAACAGAAAAAACATGACTGATAAAAATGCAAGACTGTGTATATATGTATTTTTATTATTACATATGAATAAACTTAGTNTTCGTTTTTTTTTTTTTTTTTTTTTTTTGGTCTCCAGAACAGATTAATTAAATTCCCACAAAAACCTATGGTAAATTGATAATCGGTTAACGAACAATTCGGATAGCGAACAAAGTCTTGGAATGGATTATGTTTGTTAACCGATCACCCACTGTATTTAATGATACAATTAATAACACAAAAGAATTCAGTTAAATAAAACTTTTGTATTTTTCCCTATATTTACATTAAATTTAGAACTGTTCTTTTTTTCTTCTACATAATTTGAATATATTGAAGATTGCAGTCATTTCACAAGAACGACTGCAATCTTTGATTAATTCAATGTCTAATAATCCAATTTGGAATATAATCCAATTTTGGAATATATGTATATATATATTCCAAAATTGGATTATTAGACATTGAATTAATCAAAGATTGCAGTCATTCTTGTGGAATATTTTCCCATACCTCAATGAGAGCAGCCTTTAGTTTAATAATGGTCTTGTATTGCTTTCCACTGCTATATACTGGGAAAACCAAGTCACCCAAAAGATTTTCAATTAGGTTTAAATCTGCAATGAGGAGTGGCCAGTCCAGAAGTCAGATGTTCTTGCTCTGAAAAAAGGATAACATTGATTTTGATGCATGGAAGCTTGCATTATGCTGCTTAAATTCAAAGTCCTGTCCAACAATTTCTGTCCATAAGTTTGGAACTGCCTCTAGACAAGCTCCTGATAAGTTTGAGAATTGTTTCAAACTCATTAAATATAATCCAATGATCGCCTAAATATTCGGGCTATAATATGGCTATAATCAAATAATTAATGCAAATAAATTCTTCAATAAATACCAGATCTGTCTTTCCATTCCATCCAATTCCCAGGACATTTACACTCCAGCTATCACCACCAGCTACTCTCTTTGAGTACTGCTTTTGATCTAGTCTTTTGACTGCCCAATAATAATTAAAACCATCAGATTCATTGAGATTCCACTTTTTCTCATCCAAGAAAATTACTTTTTGCTGTTCTTCCCCTCTTTCAATGTTGTTTCTGACAAACTGTAATCGAAGTTGTTTGTTTTTCTCCTTGAGCTGGTTGCCTGTCTTCATTTTGATGAAAGAAACATTGTCTGTTGATCTCAAAACATTGTGTACTGTTGATTTTCTGCAGCTCAGCTTCAATTCATTTTTGATTTTTTTGAACAGATGTGTTTCCTTGCAGTGCACATCAAACAAGTGCATGTTGTTCTCTAGGTGCTGTTGAACTCTTATGCACACTGTTTTGTTTTCCTGTTCATTGCTCCTTATTATTGAGATACTTTGAGATTGTTGAATGAGGTTTTCCCAAGTTTTTGTGATCCAAATTACTTTTCTCCCTTGTGAAATACATCAATTTTGATCTTCTCCTCTACAGTTAGGTCCTTCCCATGTCCCATTTTTAATAGTAAGTATTATGCAATTTACTAAATATTTCTTTCCACTTGTTGATTGTATTTTTATGCAAATTTCATGGATTCCAATCATTACTTTCTTTGTAATTAATTTTTAATCAGTACATGTTGGACATGCTATTTTTGATGATAATATCTAACTCTTGTTTATTAATCATTTTTCTCCAAACTTGTGCTGTAATTCTTGATATCTTACTATAAAATGTACTAGAAAAGTTCATTAATGTTACATGAAAATAATAGAACATAGTTTTTTTCTAGAAACTATTATTGTTGGAAGGACTGTAATACCTAAATAGGAGCCAGGCTTCCTGAGAGCTGTCTCCTTGCATCAACATTAATCCAATCCTTTTTGTTGAATGTAATATTATTACACTGGACAATAATACACTATATAACATTAACTCATAAGTTACTCATATTAATGCTATTAGTGCCTTAGCTCCTTACAATATGATATTATTTAGGTACTGTATTACTGTATGTTGATACACATGCATAAGTAACATTGATTATAAAAGAACATACTTGTATTTGGGATTATATCGGTTTGTGTATAGCATTGGGAATCTCATTCCTTTATTGCAATTATTTATTATGCTTGACTTATGACAGGAAGTTGACTGTCAGTTCTAACTTGAACTACTGATATTTGACATAAATGACTTTCTTATTCAACTTTGAGTCTTCAAAAAATAGTAATTTCTGAAGATAGTAAGAGATGAGTACTGCTGTTCTAAGCTCTAATAAATTGTCTCATGAATTATCTCCGAAATATACAAACATATCTTGTAATTTTTATTTTCTCTGGATATGTAGTAACATTTTGAAAATATATTTGATATAAATTTATCTAATTTAGAATACATACTATATGTATGTAGTAGTCCAGATTTTTGACACTTCACTGAACATACCACAAAAAACCTAAGTTGCATCTTAGGTTATTTTTGTGGTATGTTCAGTATTAACAGTCCAGTTGTGGAAGATAAAACCCTTTGTTTTAAATCTGGACTAATTGGAGCTGGACCTCATCCAGATTTTCAAAAATATATATGAATTAATATCCAAATTTTCAATACTTTACTATATCTCAAACAAGCTTGATATTTTGAACAAATTAAGTCGATGAATTAATTAAATTAAGTTTTGGAGAAGTTTAAAACTTAATGCTAAAAAAAAATTGATAAATAAAATTGCAAATACATTATCTAAATTTTATCTAAAAAATAAACAAACAGATTAGATAATTTGATAAATATTTGAAAATAATTTTAGCTAATACTCATGTGCATGCTGATCATGTAACTGGAACTGGAAAAATTAAAACGTTATTACCAAAATGTAAAAGTGTCATTTCGAAGGCATCGGGAGCAAAAGCTGATAAACTTATGGTGCCTGGTGATGTTTTGAAAATTGGGAATTATGAACTTGAAATTCGCAGTACTCCTGGACATACTGATGGTATTTATTTATTTCCATATTATATAAGAACATAATAATGCATGATATATAATGAAGTTAAAAATAGTCTTAAAATATTCCTTTTTTTCCCCTTAGGTTGTGTGACTTATGTTCTCCATGATCAGAAAGTAGCTTTCACTGGTGATGCATTATTAATCAGAGGCTGTGGAAGAACAGATTTTCAGCAAGGTAAAAGTATTAAATTTTTTAATCAAAGAAAAACACAACAAAAATCTTCTTAGTATCATTTTTTCTCTAGATGTATAATCAAATGAATTTAAAATAAATATGAATGACTCAAAATTTAAAAGTAACAGATGATTAAAAAATTTGAAGATTTCAATTTTCTAGAAATTTTAACAGATACACTATGTAGTAATATTGTACACTTGCATATATTTTAAACTGTGTAAGCTTTTTTAATTTTCTATTTATATAAATGTTTTATGTTTTAAAAAAAGAAATCAAACAAACCATTAATACTAAAAGCAAGAATTACAAAGTGGCTATACCGTAGAACCTTGAAAACTCGGCTCTCGATAATCCGGCACTCCGGATAACTCGGCCACACCCTGGCAGGGCAAAAAAATCCTTAGTTAANTATTATTATTATAATAATTTCATTATTATCTTATACAAAATAATTTAAAAAATATATTTTTAAGTTACATATTTATTGCTTTTTAGGAGTATCCTAATTACATATAAACATCTAACTTAAATTCTTTCAGACTGACAAGCTCATTGAGATCCAAATGTTTCATAAAATTTACAAAATTTAGAATCTGAGTTTAGACCATATTTAATTTTCATGGTTTTAGAATTTAAAATGTTTGATTTGTCCTGATTTGATTGCAGAATATTTCCAAAACCCAAAATTTCTGGAGAACATAAATTTTATAAACAAAATTTCCCGAAAAATTGTTGCACCTAGCATACAAAAGAAAATATTTTATGAACAAATTAATATTTACTATGTAGTTTGAAATATTCTAATTAGATAGGCCTATTGTATAATTGGCTGTGCAACACTAAATTGATAAATACATGTAATAATTTTTTAATGAAAAGAACACTTTAATTTAAGTGTTTATCATCATAGGATAGCATGTAGAATTATAAACTTGATATAATAGGCCTGTGTTGATTAATAGAAGTAAAATTAAGTTTGACTGCAACAGGTGTCATCACCATTGCCAGATAGATGGATGACCTATTTTTAGCACAAGGTACTAATTGGTGGATCTTTAATGTCCAAACAGAAAATTTCTTTGGCTTCTTTCACTATTTTAATTTTCCCTCAATCCTGTTTATGCAGTTGCCTAATCCTAAAAGTACTGAAATCAGATATGGTCTATATTCTAAATTTTGAAGTTTTATGGAATATGTTTGGAGCCTCTGATGATGGGCTTATTGGTCCAAAAGATTGTGTGTAATTAGGATACTATTAAAAAGCAATAAAGATGAAATTTGTTAATCTATGAAGGTGTGATTTCTTATAATTCATGTAAATTAATTTTTAAGTATTTAATACATTCAACAAAAATTTGAAAAGTTTGTTTTTTGTTTACATAAAAGCTAAAATACAATAAAAATTACTAATATTCAAAGATGTTTTTTGCGTTTCAAACTCAGTTTTAAAAATTAAAATATTAATTTTCCTGTTTATATCTTTCTGATCCTGTGACAAATCAGATTAGGGTAGTAGCAGTAGTAATTGCATTATTATTGTATATTTGTTTGTTTATACAAGTAATAAATTTAAATATAGTTAGTCTTTTAGAACTCGTTTACAAACATTGCTTTGCTTGAAAAATTACTTAAATTAAATTACATACATATGTTTGTAATTTAATTTTCTACCTAATCATAGGATTAGGTAGAAACTTTTTACAAAGATTAAAATGTGCTTACAATGTGTTATGAGATAATGTCAGATACAGAATTTCAAGTGACTTAATTGACAGTTCAGATGAGAACAATGGTTCTGAATAACAACAAATACTGATCTACTTTTAGTATTTCATTATAAAACATTTAGAATAAATATTCTTTAAATTTAATTTTCTTCACAATGTTAGAAGCATTTGTAAGTAGGTTTTGTAAGAGTATTTTTATTGCTTGTACATATTTTTGTAAGATGTATTTTTATTACTTATACAAACAAAAATACACACACTATTTTAATTTAATATATTTTTTTTTTATAATCTAGCCTCATTATTTAGAATTTAATAATTTTAAATGGGTTTGTTATTTAATTTCAGTTTCTTAACTTGAGGTTTTTTCATGCCTTAAGGCAATTATAGGTAACGTCCTTAAAACATGCAATAGAATAACAAGAATGGGAAGAATAACCTTGCAAAAATATTGATTTAAAAAAAAAAAAGACTCAAATTATTTTTCAAATAAAATTTTTAATACCTTTTTAACCGCTTTTAGTATTTACACACAATATTTTTCTTCAAACTCCACACTTCATAAAAGGAGCCATCTTATCAGTATATTTGATTAAGTATGGTCATTTAATGTTCAAAACTTGTCAATCATTAATTCTTAATGTGTCTTAAACCTTATAACTGCATATCTTATACTTTAAATAATATTTCAGTGAAGGTAAATGAATTACTTTAGTTAATGTTAAGAGAAAAGAATAGAAAGAGTTGGAACTGTTTTCACATCTCATTATAAATGATATATCAAGTGTCTACTTTCTATTCATATATATGATAAAAGATATATTTAATCACATGCCTTGATAGTTTGTTTGTCAATATAATTGAAATTCTTACTGTTATTATTAACTTTAAATATGTTTTTTTTAATATAATGATAACATATTCAATAGAGTAACAGTTGTTCTTGTGCACAATGAACCTTTTAGGTCAAGGTCCATTTGGCCTGCTGGGCTCTCTCCAGTACAATATACAATAAATCACAATTCACGAAATGCAGGATAATTTGTAATAGTAATTATTATATTTAAATTTTCAGATGATGATAATTTGAGAATTAAGTAATAAAAAGATGTTTTGGCAGAATAGGTTACAATTGATAAATTTTATTTATAATTTTATGTAAGCTAACATTAGTTCATAATGTAACATCATTTGCATATTTTGTATAAATTAAAATTGAGAGGGAATAAAGATAGAATAATATATATTTTAAAATTTTATACTGTTCTTTTAAAAAATTACACTAATTTTTACATTATTATAATTAAGAATTTTATTTAAATATATTTTTCTTAAATTGTGTATATAAAAATTTCATTGTTACAAGAATATTCCATTATAATCTTGAAAGAAGTATTTAATGTTTAAATCACTAGCTGCAAGAAAATAAAATTCTAATTTATGACTTAAGAGTTGACATTTTTATGGAATTTACTAGTGCACATAATATTCATATATATAAAAGTTTCCGATTCTATAAATAAAAATATTTAAAAAAAAATTCTGCTTTAAGTGTAAATTTCCTGATTCTGTATTTATAAAGGAACGGGAAATCATTACAAAATAAAATAATGATGCTATCCAAATGATTCAAAATTATGAAGAATGGACAAGTTAGACAATTTTGCAAGCTATACTAGGCTATAACTTATGTAGATTTTAAAATACAGTGGGTGATCAGTTAATGAACAAATCAGATAATGAACACTTTTGTGAAAGATTTTTGTGTTTGGCTAACGAATGCCTCACAGAACAAACACAAGAAGCAACGTAAAATAATGAATACCGATTGGTCTTCCTTTGTCTTCAGGCAACAATTCAAAACTTTTCGGAGCACGGGAGACATCGATATTCAACCTGGTATATACTGATCGGATAGTGTTCCCCCGAACTTTGAAATTCTCCCTTGTAATTCCAGTCTTTTATTTTTCTGACAGAAACAATTCTTTTATGTTTTCTTCTGAAAAAGCAAATTAATGCTGATATCTGTTATTAAAGATCTTTTGAAGAAGTGGGAGGATGTCAGAACAACTGTCTTAAAATGGCATCCAAACCAGATTGAGGTTAATAGACTTAGGGATCTCTACAATTACAATGCTATTAATTACTTGTGAAAAATCCTGAAGACGACAGAAAAGTAATCGACATTAGACAGATTCTTTAACCCCCATAAACAGAAAAAACATGACTGATAAAAATGCAAGACTGTGTATATATGTATTTTTATTATTACATATGAATAAACTTAGTAAGAAAGCATGTTTTTTTTTTTTTTTTTTTTTTTTTTTTTTTTTTTTTTTTTTTTTTTTTTTTTTTTTTTTTTTTTTTTTTTTTTTTTTTTTTTTTTTTTTTTTTTTTTTTTTTTTTTTTTTTTTTTTTTTTTTTTTTTTTTTTTTTTTTTTTTTTTTTTTTTTTTTTTTTTTTTTTTTTTTTTTTTTTTTTTTTTTTTTTTTTTTTTTTTTTTTTTTTTTTTTTTTTTTTTTTTTTTTTTTTTTTTTTTTTTTTTTTTTTTTTTTTTTTTTTTTTTTTTTTTTTTTTTTTTTTTTTTTTTTTTTTTTTTTTTTTTTTTTTTTTTTTTTTTTTTTTTTTTTTTTTTTTTTTTTTTTTTTTTTTTTTTTTTTTTTTTTTTTTTTTTTTTTTTTTTTTTTTTTTTTTTTTTTTTTTTTTTTTTTTTTTTTTTTTTTTTTTTTTTTTTTTTTTTTTTTTTTTTTTTTTTTTTTTTTTTTTTTTTTTTTTTTTTTTTTTTTTTTTTTTTTTTTTTTTTTTTTTTTTTTTTTTTTTTTTTTTTTTTTTTTTTTTTTTTTTTTTTTTTTTTTTTTTTTTTTTTTTTTTTTTTTTTTTTTTTTTTTTTTTTTTTTTTTTTTTTTTTTTTTTTTTTTTTTTTTTTTTTTTTTTTTTTTTTTTTTTTTTTTTTTTTTTTTTTTTTTTTTTTTTTTTTTTTTTTTTTTTTTTTTTTTTTTTTTTTTTTTTTTTTTTTTTTTTTTTTTTTTTTTTTTTTTTTTTTTTTTTTTTTTTTTTTTTTTTTTTTTTTTTTTTTTTTTTTTTTTTTTTTTTTTTTTTTTTTTTTTTTTTTTTTTTTTTTTTTTTTTTTTTTTTTTTTTTTTTTTTTTTTTTTTTTTTTTTTTTTTTTTTTTTTTTTTTTTTTTTTTTTTTTTTTTTTTTTTTTTTTTTTTTTTTTTTTTTTTTTTTTTTTTTTTTTTTTTTTTTTTTTTTTTTTTTTTTTTTTTTTTT